GAGTTAAAAAAGATGTAGGAGAATCAAAGAGGTGGGATTAGAGTTTGAGTTAGGGTGCTAAGTGTTAATTAATTTTTGTGGGGATGATGTGTGGTTGGGTATGGAAAATACAGATATAGAAACAGTCATTTTCCTGTGAGTATATATAGGCAAGGTTAAGCATGTCATAGGTAGAAAACGATGAGGTTTAATGGCACATATGTGTACATCTGCACGTAACAGAGAGAGTAAGAGAGAAAGAGAAAGGAGGGTGAGTTTGAAGAGGATATTTTGGGGTGGCAGTGAATCCTCGTTCATAATAAAAGAGGAATATTCCAATTAAAGAAAAATGCAATTTAAAAGAGATAAACTAAACTCTGATAGAAACAAAAAGAGCAGGGAATTTTAACGGGTCGCGATCCATCATCTTAAACTAGACACTCAATTTCCATTCCTATATTCCATTCAACAGTACCCCTTTTGTTTTTCTCGAAATCCAACCATATTCCTGCCAAGAACCACCATTACATCGCCGCTTCAAACTTCTCTTTTTTCTTTTCTTTTAATTTAATTACCTGCAGATAAGGGAAACCAGTGACCAGACTCTTCCCTTCTTCACTTTCTCTCTCTCTCTATCTATATCTCTCTCTCTATATCTCTCTCTCTATATCTATCTATCTATCTATCTACAGCAGTAGTAGTAGTACTTTGATGACTAATATATCTCTCAGCTTCCATAAATAACTGCTACCCCTTTTCACTAACTTTTGGTTCAAACCACCATCCCCAAAAAACTCTGATCTTTTCTCTTTCCCTTTTTTTTATCTGACTAGTGGTGACAAGTAGTCCCTGGAAATTAATTACTCTCTCTCTCTCTCTCTCTTTCAGCTTTTAAAATTTTCCATATGGTGGTCTTCCTTCAACCCTAGTGGGATCCTATACTAAAAGCCTATAACCACACCGTCTCAAATCATAAGTCACTCATGATATAATCACACCCTTAAACCCTTCCTTTCACCTCTTTCAACTTCTTCAATTCCATCACCTCTTACTATATTTGCTTTTCCACTTCACACCCTCACTTTAACTCTCAACTCTTCCATTCCCTTATATATATATTTCACTACCTTAACAAACACAGATCTTCTCCGTTCTTCGGTTTCTCTATATTTTTATCTGTCTTTTTCTACCTATCTCCATGTTCACCAATTCACATACGCTAATGCAAACTTTGTTGTCATCTTTGCCGGAGCCAGACCTCTCCTTGAACATAAGCCCTCCCTCTATTTCTGAGGTCAAGGAAGTGGGGTGTTTCGGCAAAGTGATTTACAGCGACATGTGTTCAACTTCTGATTCTGGGAGCAGTGGAGCTAGTGATTTGAGTCATGAGTTCCATAACCTTGGTCACCATCGTGAGCCCACGTTGAAGTTAGGCTTTGGAACAATGGATTTGAATCCTCGCCATCATCAGGTTCATGGTGACACCAGAAGCTTCACTCACCATAACCACCACCACCACCACCACCACCTTCAGCCTCACATCTACGGCCGCGATTTCAAACGAACTGCAAGAGTCGTCAATGGCGTCAAAAGAAGCGTCAGGGCTCCTCGGATGAGATGGACCACCACCCTCCATGCCCATTTTGTTCACGCGGTTCAACTTCTTGGCGGCCATGAAAGTAAGTCTTTCGAAATCCATCGCTAAAATTTAGCAGATTCCAAAATCAATGAAAAAAAAACCATATTTTTCTTGAATTACTTTAAAAACCATGATGTTCTATAAGCCATGGTCTAATTACATTATACGTGTGAGTATTGTTTGAGGGCTTGTTATTATATGTTGGAATGTAAAAGGTGATGGTCCTGAGATAAAACATATGTATAAATATATATAGATATAGATATATATTCTAGGTTATGTCTAATCTTGAGTTTGTCTTATCACACTTGCAGGAGCAACTCCGAAGTCTGTGTTAGAGTTAATGAATGTTAAGGATCTAACCCTAGCCCACGTCAAGAGTCACTTGCAGGTGGGGTAGTTTCTATTCTCTCCCCATTATATTTCTCCATAGTCTTTGAGCTTAATGAGTGAAGTTCCTATATTCTTCCTCTTTGAATTAGTTTCTGACTAGACAGAAGAAAAGAAAGGGAAAAAAGGACTATTGTTAGTCGCTATAGGTTGCCTCTAGTAGTGGGGAAGGTAGAACCAAGGACTAGGGACAAAAGGGGTATCTAGATTATGTAATGCAATCTTAGCCTTTGTGGACTTTTCTTCTCATTTTATCTTTTATGCGGGGTGTTCATGCAGATGTATAGAACAGTGAAGAGCACTGACAAAGGCACCACAGGTAATTGAATCTCGGAGTGTTGTGTTCCTTCTCAAGGACCCTTTTTTCGTTTCTTCTTCTATTATTATCATCATTATTATTCTCTTTGTTTGAGATCTTTGGTGATTCGGGTGAAACAGAAAACTCTATGATTTGCCTAGTACTGTTCCCCGTTAAAAACAAAAGTCTCTTTGGCATATAGGACTTGTTTCAAAATCGCCAAGTGAATTATTAACCTCTGGTGTCTGATAAAGGAAGAGCAATGGCTCCATTGATGATGAATTTTGCAGGCCATGGGCAGACAAATATTGCAGTATTGAATCCAAGGCAAGGGATTAACATTGTTCATCTGCATGCACCTTCACCCAATTTACCAGACCCGATTCAAAGTTCCCACAGGTTATTCATTCATTTTTTGCATCAGTTACCTAAACGATTCTGTCTTTTAATTTTCTGTGCTTTTTCAGATTTCATTCACACACCATGATGTTTTTTCTCTATCCAAATTAATGTTAACTTATTGACTAATGGTGATTCAACTGGACCATTACATTAAAAGCAACATACGAGAGTGTCGGAGAACAATGTATATGCACGGTTTTTCAAAAATCCCTCTTGTTTCATCCTTTTGTTTATTTTCTTTTTCTTTTCCTTGCAAACTTTTTACAATAGCGATACTCATATACCTCACTTTTACGTGAAAATAAAAATAGAGAAAAAAAATTAACGGAAAAAGAACTGTTATATAAATAGAAAATGGAAAAAATAATTCAGTGAATGTTTGGCACAAAAAAGAGATAAACTGAGTGTAAAGTTAATACTTTCTAAGTTTTATACATCCCCTATAATTAAAAGTTTAATGTTTGGTGTCGGTAAGACTTTTTTTACCAAATCTTTTTTTGTTTTTTTAAATTCACGTGTGTCATTGGCTTTTTCTTATTTTTTTATTACAAGCTTCTATAACGACAGCTTGAAAACATGTACATAGATTTTGACGAGTAAAAGCTAGGGTTTCTATAGGTAGGTATGAGGGTGGTCATTTTCTACATGGATTCTTAATAATGCTTTCGTATTCTTGATCCCAATGCATGGCAAAAGTTCTACCCTGTGGTTCAAATCTCAATGTGTTACATAAGCCACATTTTTTAAAGAAAAGTAAAAGTGATACAATAAACTTCAAATGTTATAGTAATAACCTTGTGAGATCCTTAATTGGTCGTGGACCAACTAATCCACCACCTAATAATTTATTTTTGTCTATAAATACACAATAAGGAGAATGACAAGAATGAGTTACAAAGAAATACAGTTTCATTATTTGGTTAAATATATGTTTCACTACCAAAATTGAGATTGCAAACAAAAACTGTTCCTCTCTTCATGAAGAGGGTTGTATGTTATAAAATCTCACTTCTTTCCATTTCCGAATAAGATCACATATAAAGTTTCAACATCTCAATTAATTCCTTGGCAAATTGAAAGTTTTGGATGTTGACCGTTAGTGCATCACATGGCATTTCGCCTCATTGAAAAGGCAATCGGATGAACTCGTATGTAGCAATGGCGTTTGAAGTTGCACACATTAAGGAATTGGATTTGGAGTTTTGTTACACAGTGTAAAACATAATACTAAGTAGAAGATGTTCACTTTCAACATTAATATGTTGTTCACTTTTCAGGACAGCGTGGCAACAATCATCAATAGAGACAAAAACAAAGAACAGTAGACAAGAAGCAGAGATGGGTTTGACGTATTGTGAGGTGAAGGGAAGTGAAAGCATGGTAAGTTGTGACATAAATGGATGTAGCTTCTGGCTTGTAGTTTTGTTGCATGCATTTATGAATATTCTCGAAATGGCTTATGTCACTAACAAGGGTAATAATTTATATATATAATATTACAGGTGAATGGCTTGGATTCTACCAGTTTGTCACGTTCCGAGGGAATGCTTGACCTAGAATTCACCCTTGGAAGACCCATTTGGCAAAAAGACCACGCAGAATCATCCAGAGAGTTAACTCTTTTAAACTGCTGAAACAGCTAAAACAACGTTAAAAAAAGTAAAGAAAGTTAAGGTTAAATTAGGTTAAGTTTAAATAACCAGCCTTTGACATGTGTGGATGATGATGATGATGATGATGAAGAAGAGATGAGGAATTGTTGTATGTGAATGATTTTGATTGTGTGTGTATGTAAGGATGTGTTTGGGAGAGAGAAGAGGAATGGGATAAAGAAATTATGCTAAAGAACATATGCTTGAGTCCAAGGAATTTTTCAGGCATTGTCCTTGATGTCATTTTCTGTGGAAGCTATAGAATAGAACATGATGAAAAATAAAAATGGAATGGTTTGTTTGAGGTCATGGACCATGCATAGGTTATAGTTAGGCAAAATAGGACCCATTTGGAAATGCTGATATGAGACAGGTGGGTCATGTTTTCTGCCAGACCATCATCACATATGTACCACATACACATACATGTTATCTATCACCCACATTAATTCACTTTTACAAATTAATATTCCAAACTTTTTTGTCTTCTTTTATTTATATATATATATATATATATATATATATATATATATATATATATGTGTGTGTGTGTGTGTGTGTTGTCTTCTTGTATACACATTCAAACTCATAATATATTAACTGATCAATTGATATAAATATAAAAAGTTACTGTTAATTTTGTTTCCACTCAACAACTTAATTTTCTGATTAAAATGAGTGTGCTATAGAGGTTTTCTTTCTTGGATTTTCTACTTCCAACCATCAATGTAGGATTCATATTCTTCATAAAATGTAAAATTTGATCGGACCACTACAATATGCTTTCTTCACTCTTGACACTCGAATATCTCATTGATTCATTCTTTTAAGAAGGACTTTTAAGAGTTTAATATTCATATAAACAATCACCCTCCAACTTTATCCTATCAACTAATAAAAATATCTTTTTTTAACTGTTTTATAAACATTTTTATAGAAGAATATATATATTATTGTAAGGTTAATATTCTTCTGAATATTTGGGTTTTTTTGCTGAATATTTTTTGTCGTTCCTTTACTGCAGTTTCAAGATACACTAAAAGATGATGCCTTCAAAAAATACATTACTTTTCGTATATTAAAAAGACTTTTAATATATTGTAAAACACCTAGATAATCAAAGACACTGGAGGACAATATAAAAAAACATAGCAGAAAATTCAAATTTCTAATAAAAAACTGAATTTGATGTTTTAAAACATACTATAAACTATTTTAACATACCAACGACGATGTATTTTTACGATAGACAACACCAAAAGTTCAATAGAGAATTTAAATAGTTAAGAAGTTATATTATATATATATATATATATATATATATATTATAAATTGATATTTTCTCTAGTTGGACTTCCAATACATCTCTTGAGATCAAAACATATACATATCGAGTGAGAGGTTGAACATTAATAGATTATCGAATAATATCTGATAGCGAATAAAATAATAAACTTCAATAAGATAAGTTCTAACTCATAAATTTAATAATATATTAAGAAAAAAACTTTAAATTTAGCTTGATTTCGACTAGTAAAATGAGCTCCAACTCATAAATTTAATACTATTGTTGAGAGGAGAAGCTTTCTTGAGTGTGGTAAATGTGTTTTTTTGATGTTGAACTATGTAAAATGTTATTTCTTAAGTGATTAAATTGTTAGAATCTGATTGTATTAATCGATTAAGCAGTGTCAACAATAAGTTAAATATGTCAAAAGCATAACATAGTTGTACTGCCTAATTTAATTGATTAAGGAAATAATCTAATCAGTTAAAACAGAGAGTTGGGCCTAATCAATTAAAGAAATAACCTAATTGATTAAATGCATTAGGATTTTATATATTCTATATATATGTGTGATCTAACTTATTTATATAACGAAGTAGTTTGCATTTTTCTAACAAAAAGTGAAACAAGAACACAAAAACACATCAAGGAGTTGTCTTGAGACATTCTTGGAATAATCAACCAACCATTTTGAAGAATCTCAAAAATCTCCAAGGTTCTAAAAATGGTAGAACATTTATAAGATCTGTACATAAGTGGTGCACTTAGGTTTTGTTTTCTTGTATAGATTTCTTAGTTACCTTAGTTGTATAGGCAAGGTGTGAGAGAGTGTGTTATTGAACTTCTCTAGTTTGTAATTTTGTGTATTGGAGTGTGTGAAGATATAATTGAGTGTTTCTTTGTATTATTAACCCTTTGCAATATAGTATAATTCCTCCAACTCAAGTTGTTAGAGAAAGACTTGATGTAGACTCAGATTTAGAATCAAACCAGTATAAAATTAGCGTGTGGTCTTATTTAAGTTTCTACATTTTCTCTTGTTGATCATAATATTTTGTGAATTGATTTCAAGAACTAAAATTTTCAAATAGCAATTAAAAGTTGTTTTAAATCCAATTCATGTTCTCTTAAATTGAGATATAGGAACTCTAGTTTTAACATGTTATGAATTGAACTTTAAATATAATTTAATTTTATAAAATCTAAGATAATATTTACACTTATTTATATTTTTTAAATTAGTTTTAGCGTGACTTCCAACATAGACTTTAACTATTACTTTGCCCGAAACTGAAAAAGTTGCCTGTGTTTGTCTACAAAGTATATCTTGCCAAATTATATACATGAGTACATGTTTAAAGTTTTTTTTTTCTTCTGAAATACAAAAGATATAAAGAAAGGGAGTATATTTTATTAGAAAACAAAAGGTCAATAAGCAAACAGGCACTGGGTGTTACCTTTTCCTTTTCCGTAGTGCCTTGGGGAAAGGTGTAGTTCTATTTATTGTGGCCCATTAGAAGACTTTTCTTGTGGGCCGAAGTTCTTATTTCTGATTTCGACAAATTTTAAATCATTTCATGTGGTAAGAACAATCCCTCTATGTTGTAGAAAAAAGAAAAAGTAGAAGGCCCACCCATTTGGTCCTACCTCTGTTATGACTTCTGATCTATAATAATTTTCACTGAATTATCATTGGAAGGAAAAAAATTATAAAAAGATAATACTAAACATAAAAAATAATGTTGAAAAATTATTTAAAGATAAATTACATTAGATGTGATTAAATATATGCTAAGTTATAAATTTAAATGGCATAAAAATATTTTTTAAATATTTGAAAACATTGATAGGGTAATATAATATTAAAAGGTGCTTCACTTTTCCTTTGTTAGAAAGTCACTTTCTGTAGGTACTAAGTGTATAAAAAGTGTAGATGTGTCCCTCTGCATTCCCTAGCCCAATTGAACACTTTTGTTGTGGGCCGAAATCCGTTTTGCCGATCTGATCCATTTTTCAATCATCTCGTCTTAAGTACGAAAAATGAAAAAGTAAAAGGCCCACTACATTGTCCTAGTTCTGTCATGAATATACGATGAGAGTTACTCCCTCCACCACCACATACTATTCATTTCACCTCCTCATTCTTCTTTTGTCCTTTAATAACATTTATACAGATGTGAATATGCATTTTTTAAATGGATGTCCACATCCGTGGATGGATATTGACATCCGTTAAAGGACAAATGGATGTTGATATCCGTTCACGGATGTTGACATCCGAATCGAGGGTCCACGTATGTTGACATTCGTCCAACCACATGTAGTGTTATCTTTTAATTCGCGAATAGAGAATAAGGGTCACATATGTGCGTCACTTTTTCAATTCGCGGTCTGCCTTATCATCAGTGCACCACACACCACACCATTGCTTCAGTCGCTCGACACTGTCACCAAACCAAAACCCGGCGGTTTCAGTTCCGGAAAAGCGGCCAAGAAGAAGAAGCAGCCGAAGGATGACCCGAGGACGGTCGAAAACGGGCTTCGGTTCAATTTCATGGAGGAGCTCATGGATCGGGCCCGGAACCGCGACTCAAACGACGTGTCGGAAGTCATATACGACATGATCGCCGCGAGCCTCAACCCTGACCCTCGGTCATTTCATGGATTGGTAGTGTCGCACACCCTCAACGGCCATGAAGAAGCCGTGGTATGATAATTTCTCTACGACGATGCCGAAAGCCGTTTGAATTCAACTGATTAATTTTTTACGCAGATGGAATCGTTGAGAAGAGAGTTGGCTGCAGGGCTTCAATCGGTTCACGAGACATTCATGGCATTGGTAAGGTTATTTGGGTCTAAAGGTCGCGCAATTAGAGGTCTCGAAATACTTGGAGATATGCAAGACCTATATTATGATATTCGCTAAGTTTGAATTGTTATTGGTATATTCATTTTGACTAATTGATTAAACTTCTCTGCTCTTAAAACGTATAGGAGAAAGAGGTAAGAGGATAAAATAAATTGTGCTTTATTAGTAAACTAAAATCATGCACTTGAACTTTTGTAGAGACTAGTATTTATAAAAGCTAAGTGTCGAAGTTTATTTTAGCTTGAGGGCATGTATGGACGAATTTCTTCATAAAATCTTTTAAAAGAGAAATTTAAGAAGAGGAGCATGGCTATGCAACGTTCGGTCGAGGCGGTGGATGCTTATGTGGCTACCGAGAGCTTGGGCGAAGCGAAACTTCCTTCTACAGTATGTGAAAATGTAGGGGTGTAGAGAGATTTAGAATTTTAAAAATGATAAATAAAATTAAATTAATATAAAGTATTTTTGGAATTAAAAAAAATAGCGGGGAGGTGTAGGAGCACTTGGGGTGATGGAGGGAGCAACTCTCATATATGATTTATGATATTTTTTTAGGATTTGTAGGAATTAAACAAATATTTTATAAATCTAATTTATAAAATCAAAATCATTCAAAATTAATTTTAATTAAAACCTATTTTATAAAATCAAAATCAATTTTACAAACCCTTAACTATTAATGATTAATTTAAATTGTGCTTAATTTAACTTAGACCTCTTAACCATAATAGTATAAAACTCGTCTTTTATTCTATATATATATATGACTACTAAATCAACATATATTTGATCCATCTTATTTTTTTTATCAGTACAATATCGTACAAAACAGTTAATTATAATGGTTTTTTTGTTAGCTCTGACAATTAAGAAGCTAATAGATATTTGCGCTATTAGGTTCAAGTCTAAAAGTCCAATGAACAATCATATAAATAACATATTGTATAAATCATATTAATTATATTTATTACTGTCGCACTAAGTTAATTTGAGTAAGAATGTCTTCTACATACACCTCTACGTACACCTGTCCTTAACGAATGTTCATAAAAAAAAAATGAATACAAAGAAAAAAAAAAGACAGGTACTACAGGTATTGGGAATATTGAAAATTGAAAGTGTTTGAGGTGTTCTTAAAAGTTAACCGTAAACAATCAACTTTATAAAAACATAAACAAATGGTGTGTTATGACTAAACTTTGGCTGTAATCTTTTCATCTTTCATTTTTTTGGGTGATTTTTTTATTGTTGTTATTTATATTTCACTTATTTAAATGATGAAATGTGTGAGGCCAAGGATCTACTAAATATTAATAGGCCGAGTGATGTAGCTTGTTAGGTCCAAATATAGTTTAGGGTCCAAATACACCGATTTTTTTTATAATATATATAAAAATTATCTAGAATTAAATTGTAAAAAATTATTTATATTTGTTTATATATTATAATTTTATTTTATTTTTATCGTAAAAAAATTGAAGACACCCACGCTATGCACAGTAGTATATAATGTAAATTAAATTACTAAATAGATATTGAACTAGTTTAAAATTTTAAAGAAACTATCTGAATTAATAATTTTAAGTAAGATTTTAATTTTGTTTATCTTTGACCGAGTTCTGTTATTTTTAAAACTATAAAATTCCAATTGTTTGGTTTGCATTTTACAACCTCGTTTCTACAAAATTTAAGAAAACATTCACAAATTTTGTAAAACCAATTATTAATTGCTTCGAAGGCTTTGCTGATAGTCCAAACACACGATATGTTTATAATATGCCAAAAAGTATAAATGAGATTAAAGATAATTTATTTGGTTTAAAAGTGTCTTATGCATTCTTTGATAGTTTGTTATTGTTTACTTTTTAATAATTTTTTTTATAATGATAAAGGATATATGTGTTTTGGAGTGTTAAGTGATACCATGAAATTTTAATAATAAATAATTTATATAATTTTAGATTTATTTGTGATATTTTTAAATCTTACTTTATTTGTGATATAGTAACCGCTTGCTCTGTCATGAAATGAGCAATGGACACGAGCAATAGATACCTCTTGATATGAAACATTTGGTCTTTTAGATGATCGAACCACAAACAATATTAAGAATAAGAATAATCATATTAACTCTAATCCCGATTATTATCGAATTGGACTGTAATTAGGCTGACACTAATTAGAAGTTTATCCTAAAATTTATAAATACAAATTTGATATCTAAGTAGTTAATTAGCTTTACTACAGATTTATTATCAAAGTACTCGAACAAACATTCACTTTAGCATCATAGTGCATTATGCAGATAACACTCGCTGCACCTAATCAAACCGAACAATGAAGAGAGAAGGCCAAAAATCGAAACTTTGGTCTAAGCTTGAGATTTGGAGATAATTTATATAAGAATATTTAACCTTGGTCTTATAAACCAAAACAATCAAAATTATGATTAATATGATTGTTCTTGTTACTAATCTTATTTGTGATTAGACCGTCTAAAAGACCAAATGTTTCGCAATGGGTTAAGGAGTGTTGACCGTACTTGACATACTATGCACACATCAATACCTAAGTATTGTTATTATTTTTTGCAATTATATTTTCATAAATAAAAGAAAAAAATGAGTTATATTAAAAATTAGCATAAAGTTTAATAGATAAAATAGAATAATATGGTGTAACATGGTCCATAGAAGGCACCGGAAGTTGTGACAAGACAAGCGTGGTCCTTGATGGATGATAATCATTCATTGTGTCATAACTGCGACCACATGGTAATAGCAATGATGCCCGAAAAGGATTGTCACAATGCCTCTTTCATTTTCTCTGCTGCATCTTCTCAATACCTCTTTCTTGTCACGCTTTCTTTCTCATTAAATTAAATATTTGGATCCAACTTCCCGATCTAGTCTAATTTAAATTTCATATTTTAAAATTTATATTTGAGTATTTAATTTATTAGATTACTCAGATTTAAGTTGTTTTGGGATTGCAATTTAATTTGATTAGATTTTAGATTGTAAATTTATATTAAATTAAAATTTTTAATTAACAATTATTTTTATTTTGAATAAATAACGTAAATATATTAAATTTTTAACTGACATATTGAAAATAAAGTTTAAAATTTAAAATATATTTATAAATTTATAAATATTAAAATATAAATTCGATTAAGCTGGTTTCCATAAAATTTTAATTTGTTATTCGAATTCAATTGTAATTATCTATTTTACTTTTTTATTTATCAAATGACTTGCTTTCTAATATAATCTAATGATCAAATTTATTTTGGGTTTATTTGGTTTGGTCACATACAATTTGTTTGTTCAACCTTAATTTAAATGTTTTTTTTATATTTTGAAACTTTTTAATGTCATTTTAAATTATTTAAAAGTGAGTATTAAATTTATTAAAATAATAATTCTTTATTTTAACGATATATCATATTTAAATATAACTAATAGATAAATATTGGCAAAAAATTAGTAATACAAGGACCAATATTATATGAGTAATGCTCTGATAAATAAAATAATTATGTATTAAATATAATCCTAATAGTAATATAAAGTCTTAAGAGTATTTAAATAAACATGTGTTACACGGATCCATTTAATCTTACAAATATTAAGTTATAGAAATCAATAAATAGGAAACATATATTATTAATTAGAAAATATAATCTCACGTTTGAACTTCATTTTATTTTAGTCCTTCAAATTTAATTGTAATATATTTATCACTCAAATTTAAAATTAATATTTAAATCTCTCGAATTTAAAAATAATTTTTTAGTCAACCAAATTAAAAATTATATTTTAGTACCTAAATTTAAAAGTGAATTTTCAAGTTTTCTTATAAAAAAATAACTGATTTTGACTTCTAAAATTGATGTTAAGAATTTGCTGCACAACTAACACGTATTTAATTTGAGAAAAATAATTTTGATAATGTTTAAAATTTCTTTTTTAATTCTCTCTTTTACCTCTCCTCTCATTGAGTATAGACCTTCATTATAGTTTTTATTTTTATCTTTTATGTTATTTGTTACATTGTCATGGATTAAATTTTTATTTATTTATTTATTTTTCAAATAAAATATGATGCCTTTTGTAGCAAGGACCAACAAATTTGAAATAATTGTTGATACATACATATGAGTTTAAAATCACTCCATTTAAGAATAATAGCCAAACATAGTTTTGGTGATAAACTTTATTAGAGTTCAATTTCTATAAGGAGTGAAAGAAAGAAATGAAAACCTTAAGGTGTGTTTGGCAGAAAAAAAATGTGAAAGATGATTGAGGAATTTAGAAGTTATTCCAACTTGCTGGTCGCACCCCATGCTTACAATAACCTCGCCTCTCTTTCGTTTTCTTTTTTATTTTTATTCTCAAAGCCCGACAAGACTAGCCCAGAACTTCTATGCTACATCTATTCTTTAATTCCTATTCTCACTCCCATCCTTTTGACAGCTCTATGATCCAGTGATGTTGCTTGGATTCTACCTTTTGACTTATAACCTTCTACAGTTACCGTCTTAAATGACATACACATTTTATATAACTTCAATAACCAAAATTATAAGATTTCAAAATAACTCTTTAATCTAAGCATTAAGTCTTCAACACTTCTTCATAAACAGAAAGTTAGGATTGAATACATGAGGACTCAAGGAAAAATTGAATGGTCAGCTTATTGTGCTCCAAGATGCCTTCACATAATACTTGACAATTAAGGAAAGTTCTATATATTCATATTTTTAGCAGATAATTCAACATTAAGATAATCAATTCTAAGCGGTTAAATAACACCTTAAAGAGTTCTTTAAGAGAAAATCCAAATTTGAAGATAAATCATATATGTAACAAAGTTGTGAGGAAATAAAATATAAATGTGTCAATAGTTATGGCTCGTAGGACAAGGGTAATGACATCAAACCAAGTAGAAGGTTCATTTAAAGACCAATATAAAACGATTTATCACCATGCACATAGGTGCAAAATCTAGCATGCATTTTTGTGAAGTAAAAAAACTATCATCGATTCAAGCCT